AAGAAAACAGGCACTATAATACAAGTTCGGTTTCTGAACCGTCTTTGGCATCTATCCTTGTCTTTCTGCCCCCACTGCCCTAGCTCCACAGCCCTCACCATCTCTCATAGGAACTCTACTGTGGGTTCCTCCAGGGACCCCTCCTCCATCCACTCACCACACCAGCGCTCGTTACAGCAGGCAATAAAGAAGCATATAGGTTATGAAACAATGTGTGGGCTCATTCCATCTATATAAAACGGTATGTATGCCTGTGTATATATCTCTGGAGGTATAGAGGAAAGTTCCTCACAGAATAAACCAAAAATATTAAGAGTGGTTCTTTAACATGTGATCTGTTCTTTCTCTAGTTTGGAAATTATTGCGAATTGGGAAAACATCATTATTAATTGTGTTATCAGAAAATAATTAAAGCTACTTTTTAAAAATAAAAATAAAGCTTTCGATGGCATTCTACTGCAAACAGAATAAAATCCAAACTAGCATTTAAGGTCCTCTATCCATGACCCTAGGTTACTTTTCCAACATGATCTTCTTCTGCATCTCTGACACATACCCTAAACCGAAAACACACTAGACACTGTTTACCTTGAATTCAGCCTTTACAGTCCAACTTCCATGCCTATCCTGTTTTCACAAGCCTACCTCTTAAAGACTTCCCCATGTGCCTCTCAGAGTTGACCCGCTTTAAGTGCAGGAAGCATTCATTTCATTTGGACAGGTAACACAATTAATTGTGTTTTTCTCTCCTTCAACAAAAGATAAGATCTTCAAAGACCGGTGTCTTCTTTCCAGGGTACCTGGCTCACTGCCTTGCACCCAAAGATAGTCAATAGATGTTTGCTGAAATAAATTACAGAAGAAGTGAGGAGGATGATATACCCAGGGTAGGTGTAGAACACTTTATAAGGGTGAGACTTGAGCTGGGCTTAAAGAAAGAATAATATTTAGACAGAAATGATAGCTGATTACAGTTATCATTGTATGTTAAAAACACAAGGGCTTCTTCCATGGGCACTATCATCATTCAGATGTAGATGGCTTAATACTACAGAGTGAATGGATCCTAAAAGTTGTCCTTTAAATGAGAAATGTACCTTCTTATTTTGCACTTACATTTTTAAGCTAAAAGGATATAATATTGACAATTAAAAATTAGTTCCTAAAAATGAAAGTGTCATCAGAAAACAAAATTAAAAGACAAATGAACTGGGAAAATATTTACAACATGTATAATAAAAGATTAATAACTACATAGCAATAAAACAATATTAATACATGGGAAAAGGTGGAAAGGCAGTTCACAAAAGAACAAATCCAAATAGACAATAAATAAAAGAGAAAATGCTTAACTTCATTAGTAATAAAATAAATGGAAATTAAAGTAAAATACAATTTTTTTTGCCTTTCAAACTGGCAAATTAAAATATACTACTCAACACCACTGATGAAAGACAAGATAATTTTTCTGGAAAACAATTTAGCAGTAAGTTTCAAGAGTTTGAAAAATAATTAATTCCCTTTGACCCAGTCATTCTACTTGTAGGATTCTATTCAAAGGAATTAATTTAAAAATGCACACAATTTTATATGTAAGCAGCAGCATTCATAAGAATTAAAAACTAGAAATATTATAGATTATTGACTATAAGAAAACAAAGTGTGATGCTACGTTTATGTGATGCTATCATTAAAATCATGTATTTTTAAGGAATAGTTATTGTCTTTGGAGGAAATGCTCACGATATAATATAAAGTGAGAGAAAAAAGATTATATCATACGCATTCTGGAAATGGCTGACGACAGAAATGGCCTCTGAGTAATGGAATTGGGAAAGGAGGGTCTTTCACATCTACTGTTCTCTTTTTCTTTTCAACTAGTAATAATAATAGTAGTGTCTATACTACTAATAATAATTTGAATGTTTACTATGGGCCAAGCATTGTTCCAGGTGTTTTGTGCTTATGTTCTCAATTCATCCTCACAACAGCCTGTGAGGTAAAGTACTATTATTTTCATCCCCCCTGAGACACAGAGAGGTCAATCAAGTAGCCCAAGGTAGGGAGGGCTAGGATTCAAGTGTCGAATATTGACTCCAGAGTCTTGCTCTCTCCTATTATAGTAATATGGTATGGTGCTTCTGGTTACATATTTGTAGTATTGTGTTTGTAAATTAAGAAATTGATCCCACCTTTGCCCTGGCAGTTCTCTCTCCCACCTAGCTACTTAACTCCCAGATCACCTCAAGTCCTTGCTTAATTGTGACCTTCACAATGAATCTTACCCTGAATATGAGGTTCAAAATTGCAACCTGCCCCTCCTCTGTTTTACTCTGCTTTATTGTTTCCATAGCATTTATCTAGCGTATTATACAATTTTCAGATTCACCATATTATTTCTGCCCTCCCCTCCACACACACTATGTGGACACCACTAGGTCAGGGGTTTTTATCAGTCTTGCTAACTGATGTATTATACAGCCTGAAAAGATACTGGCACAAACTAGGTGCTCAACAAATATTTGTGAATTTAATGAAGTTTATAAAACATAGCATGATTCCACTTTTGTGTTATTTTAAAGCGTGAACATGCATACACAAGTAGAAGAAAAATATTTCAAAATGTTAATGGTGGTTTCAAGTGATATTTTTTCTTCTTCATGTTTTCCTGTGGTTTTATTCTCAAAATCTGATGTGAAAATATATTATTTTATAATGAGAAAATTGCTTTTTAAAACATCTCTTCTTAACCTAGGGTAACATACATTGCCACACACAGCGAATTGTCTTTGCGGAGAAATACATGAAGCCAGCATAAAAGGCAATCGACTATTGGAGAGGTATCGATGGTCTTTAAAGAAATGATTGCATTTAAGTAATCGCCCAGTATTTTGTGGTGGTTAAATATTTCTGAAAGAAATAAAAATCCCAGCCTCGCCGGCATCCCCAGGGAACACACCCACTAAGCAACCAGAGCCAAGCTGAAGCGTGGCACTGCGCCTTTAATTCCCGGGCTGGGGTGGGTGGAGGGGTGGTGATGGTGGAGAATTTCCGCTCCCCCACGGCCCCGGTGGCAGCTGTCACCTGTAAAGCAAGCACCAAACGGGGGGGATGGAGCCCGGCACCCATTGGACAGAATATAAAGGCAGAAACCTAC